CTCCCCCACAGAGCCGCCCGAGGAGAGCCCGGCACACAGTAGGTCTGCAGTACACGCGACTTCCCTTAATTCATTTCACTTCGGCAATGCTGAGGTAGGAATTTTCCTGGAGGACTTTTTTTTTTTGACCAGATGACCTTCACGGTGACATGGTGAGATGCAGGACACTGTCCAGGCCATCTGCCCAGGTCTGGATGATGGGGAGGGAGCCGGGCAGGGGAGGACAGCAACCCTGAGGGAGCCTCGGTGCCCTCAGAACTGGTTTCCTTCTCCCCTCCCAGAGGGCTTGGGGTGGGGTGGGGATCTGTGTCCCAGGGACGCTGTCTGTAGCCTGACACCCACCTTCGGGAGGCTCTGTCTCCAAAAGGCCTGCCCTGCAGCCCCACGGCCTTCCCTGTTGACCTGAAGCCAGCGCCAGCCTGGAAGCCTGTTCTTCTACTGGCTGCGAAGTCCGTGCAGAGAGCAACGGTCTAGGCCAGGCGATCTGGGTTCCAGTGTGAGCCCTAGCCTTGGTCAGCTCACCTGCCTTGTGCCCCGGTCCTGGGACCAGCAGGCAGTGCGGGCCATGTGAGGCGGGCCCCCCTCCCCGCACCTCCCAGGCCCCCTGCCCCGGCTCCCTTGCACACCCCTCCACCGTACTGCTGGTCTCGACACCGGCTCGCGGGCAGAACCAGGCCCCCACATCTCGTTTCCAGTTTTTAATGTTTTTCTTGTAAAAACCCAAAATATAAAACTGGAAGGGGAATGGAAAACAAATCCTGTACATTTTATATACACGAGGTCTGTGATTTCAAAACCATTGGGGAGAGAAAAGGAAAACACAGTCAGGAGAACGTCGCAGGTCACGGGTCCTGATGGGCACGTCCGAACAGGGGATCGTCCCTGGCCAGTGCAGGCCACCCCGAGTCTGTGGGGAGCTGGGGCCTGGTGGCTCAGGCTGGGTGCACGGAGGGTGGGGACGGACGGCTAGCGGGCAAGGTAGTGCCTGCGGTGGAGGGGGGCAGGTGCGGCCGGGGCCTTCCTTCAGGTGTCCGTGTAGATGGACGGGATGTGACTCAGGCAGTGGTCAAAGGGCCCGTTGGGGAAGAAGCTGCAGTCCTCGGGGCCACTGGACACCATGTCTTCGGGTGGCTGTGGTGGCAGTGCTGTGGGGCAGGGGGCTTCGGCCAGGGCCTCGTAGCCTGTGGGTACGGTGGGGAACAGGGTTCGGGCTGGAGAACGCAGGGGCTCTGCCTCATTATCTTTTCCCAGCCCCCTGACCCCGTCCTCCTGCCCAGGGTCCCTTCTCATGGTTGTCCCTCCGGCCGGGCCTGCCCTGAGACTCTGCTCTTCCAGAGAGGGGTGACGGTGGGTGGGAGGAGGCGCTCTAGGCCTTGCACGCCCCTTAAGGGGCCCAGGGCAGCTGGACAGACGGCGGGCTTGGGGCAGTCCGTCGCCCATTGCTTCCCCAAGGGAGAGGTGGGCTATCACAGTTCTTGTCCTCGGGGGCTGGTCCCCTCCTGGCAGAGGGAACCCAGCCCATCCCCACCCTTTCAGGTTCCTTTACCCAACCAGACACAAGAAACCCAAAGAAGGAGATGAGCACTCACTGGGCTCTTACTGAGGGTTCTTGAAGCCATCTCACTTAAACTTCTCAACAATCCTGTGAGGTGGGAAGTCATTATCCCATTTTATAGCTGAGAAGGCAGGCTCAGAGAGGCCACGACACTTGCCTAAGGTCACTTGCTTGTAAGTGGGGGAACTGGGATTTGAACCCAGATCCATCTGGCCCCAAGACACCTGGTTCTTCCACTGGACATGCTGTCTCTGGGTGGGGTCACTGCTCAAAGGCCTTCAACCTGGAGGGTCTTATCCAGTCCCTGCCCTAAGGGCTCTGTCCCTGAGCTGCTGTCACAAATTTCTGTAGCCTAAGACAGGCAGGCCTCAGTCTTTCCATCTGTGCAGTGGGATTAAGCCGAACTACTCCTGAGGCCCCACAGCCCCACCCTGTCAGTTTGGATCAATCCTGCACATCTGTGCTCAGCTTGGCAGAAGGTGTAGGCAGCTTCACGGGTCCTGGAATGGGCCCTGAACGCTGGGCCGCCACCCAGATAGCAGGGGAGGAAGGGAGCCAGAAGAATCCACTACGCTGGTGTGGGGGCATGGAAGCTGCCTCTTGCCTGTCCGAGTTATTTATTCCTGCCGCTAAACCCAGAAATCCCGCCATGGGCCGGATGGAGCAGGGGGAGGATGAGGTGAGGGGAGAGCCAGCAGTGCTGGGAATGGCTGGCCAGTCCTCATCACACACCGACCCGCGTGTGTGCAAACAGGAAACACGCACCCCCGCCCGCACGCACCCTGGGATGGGTTACACGTCTGCTGATGATGCACGGATGTGACCCGCTGCCATCCACAGACACTCTCACAGCACGCTCGAATGCAGTCTGTGCACACAGGAGTCGTGGGATGGGCACAGGGAAACACAGTGTGCGTACAGGTGGGAATACGGGGGTAGGCAGCATGCGCGTGTGTACACAGGGCATGAACATAGGCCCAAGCGTGATGTCTGCACACGTGCGAGACATGAGCACCTGTGCCCTGTGCGCTCTTTAAATACCCAGGGGGGCTCGCACTGCTTGGAGCCCACTTGTGCGGGCCTTAAATCACACACAGGCACCACAGACGTGCACCACAAATGTGTGAAGAAAGAAGACATACACAGACGTGAGAGCATGTGTGCGGGCAGGAACCCATGGACCCGCGTGCAGATAGATCCAAGGTTTCTGCATCTCATCACCTGTGGCCTCGTGGTTGTCCCTATGTCCTTAATCTTCTACCCCCAGCTGCACACCCCCAGAGCTGCCCAAGGGGCCTCTGGCACAGGGTCTCAGGCTCTCCTTTGTCTGGGGCCCCCATCCTGCCCCAGGCCTCGTAGCTTCCCCCTGACGTGGGCCTGGAGACTGACTTGGGGTGGGGTGTGGCTTGAGTTACTCCGGGAGGGTCTGGCCCCACCCCTCTGATGCCCCTGCTCTGATCAGCACCAGCCCTGCTGGTCTGAGCCCTTCCACCCTGGCCCTGTCACTGCCTTTCTCCCCCGTGGCAGGGGCATTACTTGTGGAAGGCCCAGGGCCCTGGAGGGGACACGGATGCCCCACAAGGGACAAGCACAACCTCTAGGCTCCGTCCTTTCCTAGTAGTGTGGCCGCTCCAGTCTCATTTTATCTGTTGAATAAAGATCCGTACTTGTCTCTTTCTCTGCTGTTTCCCCACGGTCTACAACTGTGCCTGGCACACAGTAGGTGCTCAGTAAATAGTTAAAGTGAAACATCAACTAGACTGTAAGCTCTCAAGTCTGATTCTTCTCTGTCTTCAGAAACCTGCCAGAGAGCAGACACGTATCAGCCGTGTGACGATGTGGAAGCAACACTGACTTTGGAGGCAGGCAGGGTGTCAATGCCAATTCTGTGGGGTCCTGGGACCTCTGTGAGCCTCAATTTCTCCTTCTGTCAAGTGGCGATGACTCTACCTCTTTCGGCCGTCCCAGGGCTTCAGGACAATGTGCATAAGCACCCAGCACAGGGTTGGGCCATGGTAGGTGGTCAGGGAAGGGGGGCATGCAGGTGGGGCTTACCGGTGGCAGGTAAAGGTGCGCTGAGGCCGTGGTAGCCATTGGGCCGCAGGGGGTTGAAACCGTGGGCTTCCCCGGCCAGACCGTCCCCACCGGCTGTGGGCTCAGCCGTCCGGTAGCAGTCGCCATAGGGGAAACAATTCTGGATGGAGTGGAAAGTGCCCTGGTACCCTGCAGAGGCAGCATCAGGGGCTGCATTAGCAAAGGAAGAGAGCCGGGGGCCAAGAGGGGGCTGTCCCTGCTGCGCTCTTCAGCCTCCCACATCATCCTGTCTAGCCATGCTGGGTGTGAGGGAGAGAAGGGGGCTCCAGTGGGGAGAAGGTGCCAGGGGTCCCGGGCCCCTTTCCCAGCTCTCTGCTTGCCACGGGGGGCGGGGAGGGTAAGGTGGCCTCACGTGGTGGCACCTGACTTGAGTCATCTGTGGCTGATGCAATGCTCTGAGGGAAGGGACTGTCGGTCCTCCATCCCCACCTCCTGGGATGCCTGCTCACTCACCTCCCTCCAAGCAGCAGGCCGTTCCCACCCCCTGCCAGCGCCAACGCTGTTCCCTTCAATGCCTTGTCAATGGGACAAACTCTTCCTCACCCCTCCAATGGAATTTCCTCCAGAAGTGCCCCCAACGAGGCATGTTGGGTCACCTGACTCCTGGCTGACCACCGTGGCCCTCAGCGCCCTTCCTCATTCTGATGACCCACTGTCTCCCCCAGGTCAGTGCCCCGTTCCCCTCGGGCACCCCGAGCAGGAGTCAGTGGGTGTCTGTGGAGAGAGGCCCCCGGCCAGAGCTTACCTTGTGGACTGGGCAGAGGTGGGGGTGGAGGGCTCTGGAAAGGCGGGTAGGGTGGCTTGCTGGGGAGTGTGGGGAAGGGCTGGCCCCCCGGAGAATGGCTCTGAGAGGATGGTGGCAGTGGTGGTGGCCCGAGCCCCTTCAGTGGGCTGACCATAGGGGAGAGGAGGCCGGGTCCCAACCTGGAGAGAACAGAGACAGTCATCAGCAGGATAGGCTCTGGGGGCTGTGGGGGCCAGAGGCATGGCTGCTGCTGTTTGCTTCCCTCCAGCCATGCTGAGCTCACTACCTGATCTGCTCTTAAGACAGTGCAGTTAGAAGAGCAAGCTTTTACTACAGATTATGTTCAAACTGGAATTAAATTTGAAAGTCCTCCAAGCTTGAGAGTCCAAAGGAATCAGTAAAGAAGAGCTTCTATCTGGTATTTAGGACTGGCAATCGGCAAGGCACACTGGTTATCAGCATGACCTTTGGAGTCGACAGAACCGTGTTTTAAACCCCATCTGCTCTCACTGGCTACATGACTTCGGGCAAGATGCTTAATGTCTCTGAGCCCTGCGTTGCCCCCAGGGTGGCTGTGTTCTCCAGCTGGTACACTGGGACTCTCGTGACCTGGGCGAAGTACCAGCACCCCCCCCCCCCCGCCCCCCCGCTGGATTGTGCTGTTCTGTCTGCGCTTGCGCTCTGGCCACCTGGAGGACAAGCCCAGGAAGAGCTGCGCTGAACCCCCGGCAGCTCCGGAGCAGAACACTAACAGTCACCACCTGCTGAGCCCCGCCTCCTCTCAGGCCCGTGAGAGAAGTCCTTGTTTCCGCCTCACAGATCAAAACACCAAGGTTCAGAAACGTGGCTCGCCAAGTTAGTCCTGGCCACACAGCACTGACCTCACAGGTTAGGATGAGGGTAAAATTAAATAAATCAAAGTGGACAAAGCACCCAATATGATGTCAGATGTATTCTTAGCCACTCCGTGAGTCATCGTCGTTATTATAAAGACGCAGGGAAAGAAAACTAGCAGAAAGTTCTGATGTCTAAGTTGGGCTTTCTTCCCCTGCACAGTGTGCTTTCAGAGATCTTTTGTCTCCATCCCTTCACTTGCATACATCCTGTGATGGGGGGGGGCTCACCACCTCCCTTCATACAGAGCCTGAGGTGGTGCAGGCCTGAGCCTGTGTTTCTGGAAGCTCACAATCTGGAATGAGGCCGAAGCAGCTGAGAGCTGTGCCGTCACCCTGAACGCCGCTGAGCCCGTGCGGGTCATCTAATTGGTCACTGCAGCCCAGGTTCCTTCCTCATGCTGCCACCTACGCCTCTGGGGTCTGCTCACAGGAACAAACCTGGCCCTGGGGTCAGATGGACTTGGGGGCTCTGGGGACCAGGCTGAAGGCTCATTGCCTGTAAAGCCCTTATGTGCATTGCAGAAAGAGGCAGGGGGAGCTCAGAGTGTCCACTCTCTTATTTGCCTTTGTAGGTCTGTTGGATGATCCACATTAAAATGTAGTACAAATTCAATGTCACAGCTAAAGTGATCTTTTCAGGCCAGGAATACTACCCTTGCCTACCCTCTAAAACATGAGGCGTTAAGGGGACAGATCAGTGCCTTTCTCTGAGGGAAGCAAGACTATCCTGAAACAGAGAAAGATTTGGGGAGAGGCCAGTGGGCCCTACGTCTGTAGCTCTGCTGGGTGCCCCCATCTGCTCCCTCCAGCTTGGGCACCCTCTGCTGCACTGCCGTCATTCAATGTCTGGAACCCCACCACTGTGAGTGCACTGCAGGCAAACACGGAGGCCTCTGTGCTGGGGCCCTGGTCCCCAGCCCAACATCTCGCACACGCAGCCTCAAGTTAATGAACTGAATTCATTAAGGCTCCACGACTTCTCATTATCATCCTCAGGATTATTTTTAGGCTTCTCTCACAGGGCCATCAAATTGGGGGTGTGTGTGTGGCTGTGTATAAGCCATGTGTCCTCACAGCCACCTCTCTGGCTGAGGCTGGGCTGCGGTGGCCAGAAGGGTGGATCCTCCTCCTTCAGGCCTACTGCGTGATGCCTGCCTGCCTTACGCCCACCCCACGCCGTTCTTCCCTGACTTCCGGTCGGTGCCCTCCCCTGGGAGCTCCTGCGGGAGGGCCAGGCCTCACCTCTCAGGGGCTCCGTGCTCAGCCCTGGGCCTGGCACACAGCAAACAGCTGATAAATGCTAACAAACGGGTTTCTGAATCGCTCAGCTACAAAACCCAGAGATTAACAGCGCTGCAGAATTAAGGAGAACCAGATCTGAAGGGGGAAAAAAAAACATGCATTCTCAAAGTTTGTTTTTCCTGTCTCAAACCTGCCATAAATTCACATTTGCCACCTTCACAGCCAGTGAAATTAAACAGAACACGACTCTCTCGGCAGCAGACATGAAGGCTGAGGTTACGCTGCTCTACCTGAACTCTTTAAAAGGAAAAAAGAGCATCTGGAGCTCCTCTTCTGAGTCATGCAAATGATTCCTAAATCAAATATTTTTGCTTCAATTGGCACCTATAAAAATTAATATAAAACCTCACTGGCTTGGCACACTGAGGGCTTCATACCTCGTATGGGGCTAGGGAAAAAAACCGCCCTTTCGGCGTCTTCCCTGAGCCAGGGTAAATAAATTTGGTCATGAAGTCAGGCCCTCTTAGCATATTTTTGAGTGAATCAGATAATTCTGTCAAGCTATTTAAACGTCCCAGCAAACCACCGGGGAGCCGCGAGTGGCCTTCCCTGTTGACTTTGGCAGGAAGGGGAGGCTGAAGGCCTTTCCTCCCCGCCTTGCCTCTCTTCTGAGGGGCTGAAAAAAGAGACCCGTTCAAGCTGGGCCTGGGCCTGGTGTCAGGCTTGAGGGCTCTCCTCTCTCGCAGCCCAGCCGACGGAGCCTGCGCGCCTGGCCGGTTGGGAGGACTCAAGCCCTCGCTCCCACAGACACGGGCGGTTGGACGGCGGGCTGGGCCGTCCTGGTCTTGTCATCACTCTGCCTCTCGCTGCAGGAATTCCTGACGGGCCCTTATGCAGGCGGCAGGCAGGTGATGAATGAGGCAGAGCAGAGTGCGCAGGCCTGAGCGGGGAAAGGCCTCTGTGGTTTATTTTAGTTTGGTTGGAGATATTTGGGGACTGGCTGGTGAGTGAGCAGGTGGCTTGAGCCGGTGGGTGGGTGGGTGGGGGTCCTGGGGCTCGGTGTCTGTGGAACCTGCCCCAGATGACACGTACAGTACCAGGCATGTGTATGTCAGGCATGGCTGACCCTCACCACCTTCCTAGAGGAGGACATCTTAATACCCATTTTACAGAGGAGGAAACTGAGGCTCAGGGAGGCCTGGTTCTCTGGGTCCCCTTTTGCACCCTATCAGGCTGCTTCTTCATGGCTCTCCACCCACTCACCAGTCTTCCCCTGCTCCATGAACAGCACTTCTGCCTCCCCAGGGGCTCATCCCTGGTGGCTCCTCCTCTCCCCGCCCAGCCAGCGTTTCCTCGAGGCCCACTGATTCTCTGTCACTAATGCCCCCTGGTGGCCCTCCTCCCCACCCACCAGCCCTGGCTCAGGCTGCCACCCACCCACATTCGATGCTGCCCCTGGCAACCAGCCCCATGCAGCGAGCCACGCCATCCTCCCCAAACTGACCACATCACCACTTGGCACCCTTCAGATACAGTCCCGCCACAGGCCGGGTGATCTGGCCCCGGCAACCTCCTTCCTGAGCTCACCTCAAAGGAAGGTGCCTGTTCCCCAGAACACGCCGAGCTCTCACCACGCCTACATTCTCACTGCTTCTTTCGCTCCACTCAGTCAACTGCTACTTAACTGTGGAGGCTCGGCCTAGCATCACCTCCAGGAAGCCTTCCCTGCATTGTCTCCCATCGCACTGGGTTCTCCTCTGGGCTCCTACAGCCCCTTCTGCTGCTTCCCTCAGAGCCCTTGTCCTGCAATGTCAATCCCTGCAGGTCTATGTCCCCTCCTTATGGTGAGCTTCTCCAGGGCTGGGGTCATCGGTGGCTCCAGCACGGGGTCCAGGGCCCGCCCACACCAGGGGCTCAATAACTGGATGCTGAATGAACGGATAAGTGAGTGGCAGAAGGAGCCTAGTTAGGAGCCCTGGACAATAGATTTGGTGATGAAGCCAGGCTGGCCCCAGGCACAGGCAGGCCAAAGCCAAGGCTAAGGCTGTGGCCTTGGGGAGGAAGGGCAGAAGAGGTGGAAGGTATTGAGGCCAGGCTTTGGGGGACCAGTTTGATCAAGTCCTGCTAGCGATAAGTGAAAGTGGCGGGGAGGGCAGGCCGTGAGGCTATGTGACCGCCCTCTGCCCATTTGCAAGGAAAACAGACTTTGGCAGCACCAGGGGCCAGCAATTAGCACATTTACCATTTCCAGCCAATTAAGTGGCCACAATGGGAACCACATTGAATAGAGGAAGAGGCCACTCCTGCTTTCAGTGATCCTGCACGAGGGGTCCCTGGACAGTCCCCAAAGGCAGGGCAGTGACCACAGCTGCCGCGGCCAGAAGCGGGGGTGAGGGCCAGATGAGCACCCCTGGAGTGGGCAGTGGGCGGTCTGCTCACCAAACACACGGTGTGAGCCAAAGAGAAGCCAGAGTGAGGCCCCTGAGGGCGCCTGGCATGGCGGTCCAGGGTGCGGGACGCGGCACGGCGCCTTCCGAGGCCGCCCTCATGGGGGAGGAGGACACGAGGCGAGGCGTCAGCAAGTCCAGGTGCCAACACCCTCTACCTGGTGTGTGGCTGCGAGGTGCCAAAGAAGCTGTGCACGGGAGGTGTTCGCTACAGGGTACGGTACACAGCAAGTGCTGCATAAATGCCCACTGTTTGCATTATCAGTGACAACCGCGAATTGCGCAGGACGCCTGCCCTCACCTGCCTCCCGTGCAGGTGCCTGCTTGCTGTCCCAGAGGACCAGCCTGCTGTACGTACCCGTCCCTGGTGCTCTCAGCCGTGGGCAGAGGGGACAGATGGTGGTGGGAACTGGTGCTGGCGTCCAGGGGGTGGTGCCTGGAAGGGACCTCGTGCATGGGGGGCAGGATGCCCGATGCGAGCCCGTTATGGGGGGTGATGGAGCCAGGATACACGCCTGCAGGGAAGCAAACAAATACCACTGGGCTTGGGCCACGCCCTAGAGGTGGTTGTGAACAACCCAGGAGCTGTGTGCCTATTGGCAGAAAGAGACACACACGGAGGAAAACCAGCGGGGTCATATTAACAGGAGGTTGGGGCCCAAACAAGGGGAGGACGGCCCCGCTCTGCTGTTCATGCCCTGGCTGCAGGGCTGTGGGGGCTGAGGCTACCCTGAAAGCAGAGGTGGACTGACAAGGGGCTGTCAGAGGCATCAGCTGGTCAGGCTGTGTGTGTGTGTGTGTGTGTGCATTTGTGTGTGTGTGTGTGTGCATTTCTTTAGGGTGGGGGGTTGTATGGAGCATGCTGCCTCAAGTCTCTGGGGCTGTTCCGTGTAGCCCCAGAAGCAGACAGGGATCCTGGAATGGAGAACAGCTTGAGAGAGACTCAGGGCTTGGCCATACTCCTCACATGCAGAGCTGCTGTAGGGTAACGGGCTGCCTTTGGAGGAAATGAACTACCCGCCCCCAGAGACGTGCAAACACAGCCTGGATGTCCACTGTGAGGGGCCCCAAGGACAGAATGATTGTGCTAGCTGGATGGCAGGCCGGCCCAGGAGACCTATGAGAAGGGATGCCGCAAACGGTCGTATAGGCGGTACACGACACAAGGGTCCCGATGGAGGAGAGCAGGCAGCCATACTCTCATCTACGATTCCAAACCTCTAGGAGACGCCTGCAGGGTGATACCACCTTCTATCACTTTTACTCCCAAGGGTCTTACCCTTGTTAAGAAGACAGGTGGGGGATCAATCAAATGGGGGACATGAGGTCATAGTCAGGTGTTGCTCCAGGGGCCTAAGTGAGGGTCTGGGAGCAGTTACTGAGGCCAGTGCTTCCCAAATGCCTTCACCAAGGAACCCCAATTAGAGGGGAGAACAGACCCCAACTCTGGGACTAGAGCCTGAGAGGGACACAGCAGGGGTGGCAAGTTTTTCTCCATTTTATCTGAAAAAAAAAATGGGGCCAATTTTGTTCCCCTTTTAAAATCTGGCCACACTTATTTGAGTTTTAATAGAAATTGCCATCATTTTGCTAGAAATTAAGTCATCCAGTTGATGGCCCGGGACGACTCTGCAGACCTGGGGACCACACCCAGAGCTCTGATGCAGGGTTCACACTGATTAGAGCTAGCCTGGGTCAGCTGCTACCGTTTGCACAGCATCCCGGTCATCGTGGGTTCAGACCCAATGCTCTTTACCATGAGGACCATCTGAGCACACAGCACACTCTTTCCATGGATGGAGTCAAGAAGGAACTTTGACTTTCTCCGGTGGCTGGGGTTCCAAGGCTAGCCCATCCATGGTTGGGTTGCCAGCCAGGTTGCCCCCTTTCGTCCAGGCCTGCAACTCAGGAAGCTACTACCAGGAACTGAGTAGGGCCAGGGCAGGGATGGCAAGCTCCAAGCCTCAACTGCAGCGAATCAAGCCTCCCAAGTGATATGAAAAGAAAGTCCCTTTAAAGCCAGGCCCAGGAACTGACCTGGGGCTCCAGCTCAGGCTATGTCCCAAATCGTCCACGTAGGGGCCTATGGTCCAGGCTTCACTGTGGGCTGGCTGTGAGACCCCGGGATTCTGCATGGGCTCTTGGGGGCCCTCTGCCTCTCAGCTCCAGTCCTTACCCTTCCCATCTTGGGAACCTCTGCTCCTACGGGCAGCCCCGACCATCCATCCACCACGTCCCTCACCACACATCCCTCCCCAGCTTGGTCAGGAAGGCACCAGAGGGGTCTTCTGGGGACAGAGCGTGGCTCGGTGCTGCTCATGCCTTGCCCCTCTCCCCACTCTCCTGGGCGCCTCTTCACCTGCCATCTTGAACCAATTTGGGGGCCTGACAGCTAGGAAGGCCTAGAATCCCGATAAATCCTGCTCTCTCTCCCTCAGCCTTGCTGATTTTGTGCTTCTCATACCCCCACTGCCCATCGTATTACCCTGGGTCTGCTAAAGGAGCCTGCCAGATAAGCTCCTGAGGGTTTCCTGGGAAGAGAGCTGGCCCTTCCTGATGAGAGACAAGCTCTTGGGACTTTCCTATCGTTAGACAACGAACATTTGATGTCACCCTGGCGAGCTCCTCTCTCTCCCTCAGCCCTCTGTTCTGGAATCCTCTGTCCTAACACGCCTAGAACCTGCCCTGTCTTCCCCTGCCTCTGCCCACCTTCCCTTGTCCAGCCCGGTGCAGACAGACGCATGGTGGGCTAGGTGTGCTGAGCGTGTGGACAGACAGCGATGGTGATGAGGGTGTCACTGCATCGTGAGGGGTGGCAGGAGGGGGACGCCATGGAGCCTGCTGGCCTCTCCCCAAAATGCACCACTGGAGGCTATAAATCAGCGGTATCAATCATTAGCCACGAGTGCTTGACTTCTGGCCCTAACATCTGTTCCTAACTGCGCCTCAGGCATTTGCTTTGTGGCCTACGGAAGAATGTGGCAGCTGATGCGCAGAGAGGTCCAGAACTTCTGGGTCTGCCTGGCTGGTCCTGGTCTCCCCGCGGTGCTGGAAGCAGCTTGAGGACAGGGACCAGCACAGGGCCAGGTACACAGCAGGTGCCAGGATGGTGAGGCGCAGCATCAAGAGCAGGGAGGCAGCAGACTATCGGATTAAGGGCACGGCCTGTGGCCACACGCCCCAGGTTCAAGTCTGGCCTCTGCCATTTAATGGCTGTGGAGCCTCAGCAAAATGGTACTTAACCTCTCGAGGACTCCGTTTCCTCATCTGGAAAAGAAAGAGCATAGTAGCATGTACTTTTTGAGGCTGCCGTGAGGATTCTGTTAACACGTATACGTACAGTCCCTAGAATGGCTCCTGGCACACATTCCGTAACAGTTGGCCATGCGTTATTACGAGATGGGTGAGTCAACAGTTACTCTTCTCATTCACCACGAGCAACAACAACAATAAGGATAAAATTATCTGGCACACTGGGTTTATAGAAGCGATCACATCGCAATCACATTTGTTGTCACAGCAGGTCTGGGGGAGAAACCGAGGCTTGAGGCAGGGAAGACACCACTTGCTCGCTGTCAGGGCAGGCCTAACGCCCCTCCCATCCCTGATGCTGCCTCAGTGACTCGGCTTCTCATCTGCAGCACAGGCTCATGGGGACTGAATGAGAGGATGTTCGTTTAGTGACCAGCCCGAGCAGGTGCTCAAGAGATGGCTATTGCGGGTCTGGCCCTTCTCCCTGGGATAGGCCCTGGCCTCGTGTCTGCGAGAACAGACGTCCAGCCTGGATCTGCTGCTGACCTCTCCACATGACCTTGGGTCAGTCCCCCTCCTACCCAATCCTGAGTCCTCCCAGGGTAAAAATGATGAGGCTGGGCTGCAGGGCCCCCTGCCCCAGGGCAGCCACTGCTAACCAGTCACAGCCCTCTTCCCTGCTGGGCTTCGGAATCCTCAACACATCCCTTATCCCTGGGGTCTCTTCTTGCCTGCTATTTTAGCAACTCTGACCTGGTGAGAAGCAGCCTATGGAAGAGGGTGTGATCCCTGCTCCATAGACCCATCCTCCTGGGGTGTCCTTGCCCTTGTGCACCTTTGTGAGCACAGATCCCTGTGAAGGGCGACCCAGAGAAAGCGTAAACACCTTCCCTTCCTGAGGCTGTTTGGTAAGGGCTTTGACATAGTTTTAAATCTGCTACTTCAACACGGAGGGGAAAGTACTAAAAATTAGAAAATAAAAAATGTTTAAAATGGTTAGAGTAATTCAAGAAATCCCAGAGGGTGGGAAGAGCTTTCTGCTCTGATACTGCGGTTTCTTTGGGGGGAGTGGAGGGCAGAGCACCAGTCTTGTCAGCGGGAATCCCCCCTCAGGCCACACCGCCAGCCACTCAGCGAGGGCTTCCTGCTGGGGCCCAAGACTCGCGCAGCTGCCAGGGAGGACGGGCAGGCCACCTCGGTTGGACCAGAGGCTCTGCGTGTCCGGCTGGATGGGCCTGCAGCATCCCAGGGGTCGAGGGGCTCCATGTCTGGGCCGCAGAGTTTAAGAAGCTGGAAGGATTGTGGCCAAGGGGCCCACCCTCTCCGAGCCTCGGTTTTCTCCCCTGAAGCCGGTTGTTGTGGTGTGGAGCCCTGGTGGGGCACATGCGACTTCAGCTTGAGGCCTGGGCCTGAACCCTGACGTGCGGCCTGGAAGGCCTGGAAGGAAGTGCAGGAGCCGCCTCAGTAAAGGGCTGGGGTGAGGAGGCCGGCAAGGCGTATACAGTGGCTTGGAGATGAGAGGGAGCATGAGATGTTCAGGGAACTGGGTTTGATATGCCAAGGTTGGGGTGGGCCTGGCCCCGTGAGGCCGCGAAGACCAGGCTGAAAGGAGCCTGGGCTTCCTCCTGTGGGCAATGGAGCCACAGAAGAGGGTGAAGGAATGTGTGCCAGAGGAGTGGGTGCCCATGTGGCCCCTGGGAGCCCACAGAGCATCGCTGTCTTCCTGCAGGGCCGTGCCCCTGGCCCTGCCTCCCTGCACGCGTACCTGGGAGCAGCTCCTGGCCCAGGGTGCGGCCCCCCTTCCTGTCGCTGGCGGCCAGCTGTGTGGACCCATGGAGCTGCTGCAGGGCCAAACACTCGGTCAGGACGTCGGCCTCGGGGTCAGGGCCTGCGTGCAGCTGAGGAGCAAGCAGAGGGAGAGAGGGTGTCTGTGCGAGACCACCTGCCCACCGGCAACCCTCTGTTTAGGGGACAGGGCAGGAAGGATGGTGGCTCCAGAGTAAGACCCTTCATCTCACTGCACCTCAGCTTCCCCATCTGTAAAATGGAGCTAGTTGTATACACTGGGTTAGTTCAGGGCTGAGAGGCAGATGCTAACGTAAGAGTGAACAGGCAAAGATTTTAACAGGGGAAGTGTGTGCACGAGAGAAAACCAGAGCTGGGCAGGCTGGGAGAGCCGTCAGCGGGAGTTACAAGTCTGACCCAGAGTGAAGGAGGGAGGGAAGGAAGTTGGTGGAAGCATCCTAGACTAGGAGTCCTCAGGGGGCTGTGCTGTGTTGGGAGGTCAGGGGTTCCCGTACCTCCTGGGCAGGGGTCTTGTCTCAGTACCCCAGCAGGGCCTGCCACACTCAGTTCTTGGCTGGACTAGCCTGCAGGAGGCACAGCCTCCCATGCACGGGCCCAGATAGGCGTCCAAGTACAGCAACTGGGGCCTCCCCCAAGTAGCCATTGTGTGGCCCATTCTCGTGGCTGCCACAGTGAACTCATGTGGGTAAAGTAACATACAGGGGGTACACAGGAAGTGTCTTTCCTTCCTTCCCCCTTTCTCCCACTCCTTCTTTCTTCCTGACACAGGCATAGTGGAAACAGTCTAGGGCTAGAGAGAGAAGACCTGGGTTCAAATTCCAATCCATCTCTTCTCGCTCCCTGTGTGACACTGGACAAGTAACTCAACCTCTCTGGCCCTCCCCTGCCTGTAACAAGCAATGACAATCGCCCCCCACCTCAGGCTGCTGTGTGGAGTAAGGGGGGGACAGGTACGAATGAGCTTGTTGAAGGTACTGGCTGACCCCAGCTGGCTGAGTCCCACATGGTCATGTGACAGTGGGCACGCTGGATCTATCTATGGACTTGAGGTCACTGGCTGAGAGCAAGCCTGGGCTGGCAAATCTTTGGCCAATAACCCTCAGCTGTCTTAAAGGCAGACTTGAGCTCCATATCCCCAAAATTCTTCACCTCCCCAGACAGGCCAGCTGGAGACAGGGCATGGCTGGTTGAGGCCCTTGGGACGTGGGGCGATGAGGCACGCCTGCACCTGGTTGGGGAGGGCCCCCTCGCCCAGGGAAATCCCAAAGCCTGACTATCAGAGCGCCAAAGAGTGACCTGTCCAGACTCCCGTTTTACCTAGGACAAAACCGGCCCAGAGAAGGCGAGAGCCTTGTTCCATGTTACACAGCAGCTGAGAGTCAGCACCCAGGCTTTTCCCACCCTCCCAGGCCAGAGGGCCGGCACCCAGGCTTGGGGATGGCACGCCCAGCCTCCCGACAGACCCTCAGCTCCCTGCCCCAGCAGCTGCTTTCCATGTAAATTCAGTTTCTGGCAAAAGAAGGTCAAGGCATGTTCTTGCCGACCGCAATGTCGATCGGATTAGGAGCAGCAGGAGAGGAGAATTAAGGAAGAAAAGCATTTCTAATTCTCTCTGAAACGTAGCAGGGCTGCCAAGGAGCTGTCATAATACAAGGGTCGCTTTACCCAGAAAGATACATCATCCCCGATGGCTCCTAATGGATGCTTATGGTTGGGAAGTTTGCAGATCTGCGGCCTCAGGTCCCTGGGGATCAGTGCGAGCCAAGCACAGGGCCTGGGAAAACCGGGGCGGGATTCTGGTCCTCGGGCACCAGTCTGCTCAGGATAGAAGCCTCCTTGGCATGGAGCCTGAGCCATTCCCCTTCCCTGCTCAGGCCCTTCAACCTGAGAGCAGTGGCGAGAGCTCAGGCCCTGGGGACAGGCCGGTCTGGGGTGGGACCCTGGCTCTGTCACTCCTGCGCTGCATGACTCTGCACTGGGTTCAGCTCGTCCCTCCCTCGTCGGGAGTGAGGACAGACGGGGTGTTTTCACTGGCCAGCTCAGGTGCACCCTTTGACCGTGTCCCTTTTCTGCTCTCCTGCTCCCAGGGGCTCCCTACTGCCTGCAGGATGAAGACTGAAGCCTCAAGCCTGGCTGCCCCTCGACCCCAGTGTCTTTCCAGCGGAGGCCTGCTTGTCCCAGGCCCAGCTCTGTGCACCCCCAGCCCACGCGACTGAAGCAGGCCACTTTCTCCAGCCTCTCTGCCTTTCTCTGCTTTACTTACAGCTCTAGCCACAGTTCTGAAAACAGTGCTTGGAAAACAGCAGGTACTGTGTAAATCTTGCAGAGCAAACTAAGAAGCGCTCCCTGCTCTACCCTCCACTGTCACGCGGCTCTCCCCGGACTGGCCCAGGTGTTTCTCTTCATCCCCACCCCCACCCTCCGTTGCACTCAAGTACCTGTCTCCCATGGCCCTGGTGCTCTTCTGGAGGTGTGGGCTGAGCCCAGAGGTGGGCTGGGCCCCGAGGAGCAGTCCCATCCCCCCACTGCATTGGGTCCCTTTGTGGCGCCCACACTCCTTGTCCAAAACAGAGCTCACTGCTTTCTCCTGCAAGCCTGCTTCTTTCTTAGATCCTCGGTCCTGGTCGAGGGGGCCGCCACCATCCTGCCCCCCAGAGCCCACCTCTGCGGCTCCTCTGGCACCCCCCTTCTCCCCCCTTGGCCAGCCCCCACTACCTCTCCCGCTCCTCAGCCGTGGCCCCCCTGCCTCAGGATTCCCTCCAACCGGCCCAACGCATTCTCCACACAGCCTCAAGCGCCATCTTTCAAGATGACATTCTCTGCTTAAGACCCACCCCCCGCCCCCCAGTGGTACCCACCATCCTCAGGACAGCCCAAACTCCTCGGTAGAGCTTTGGGCCTGTTATACCTGCCCCTGCCAGGGGCTGCTTGGCCTCAAGGCAGGCAGGGTGCCCGCTGTTTCAGCTTCAGTCACTCCCTGGGGCACACTCTCCTTAGAGTCGCCTGCCCAACGCTTACCCCTTCCAGATTTCATGACAACATGCACCAACTTCTATTCTGGGCCCTTACTTTGGACCAAGTACTGTTCTACACCCTTGATGTATATTTACTCACATAATCCTCATGACAATGCTCTAAAGCAAGTCCTCTGTTGCCCCCATCGGACAGCTGAGGAACATGAAGAACAAAGGGGCCCAGAGCTGTGCCCAAGGCAGGCTGGTTCCAGAGCACACACAACTGCGCTCCCACCCCGACAGGCTAAGGCCCCCTTCTCTGTGCCCCTGACTAGTCTCTGCAGACCTCTGTTGTCGTCTTTATTTTATTCTACCGGATGATCTCTTTAGGTCTGTCTCTCCCTGCCAGGTCCCCACTGGAGGAGGGCACCATGGTTTTCCATTTTTGCATCCTCGATGCCTACACGGGGCCTGCCATCAAATGTTCACTAAGCAAGCCAGGGTGAGGGGGCAGATGGACGACAGAGAGGCTGGTGGGTGGTCTGTGGGTGGATGGATGTCTGGCCGGCTGGAGGTGAGGAAGTGAACTCAGGTGGGAGGCAGGTCACGGGTGATGCACAGCAGCATCCTCGGGTGTGCAGAAGGGTGAATGCAGGCAAGAGTGCGGGCACCTGGCTTGTTGCCGGACAGGTGTCTGCGAGGCCAGGGGTCACCGACAGAGGTGGGCCTGGAATGGAGACTGTCTTACCTTCTTATGCACCTGCTGCTCTTTGGCTGAATGGGCCTTCACGTGCTTGCGGAGGGAGCTGGGGTCCGTGTAGCGCTTGGAGCAGCCGGGGATCTGACAGGCATAGGGCTTCTGTAACATCAGAGGGGCAGAGGCGGGGTGAGGCAGGGGCCATCTGTCAGTCCGCGGTCACACTGTGTGACCCACAGCGGGGAGGGGGTAGGCTACAGGCTCACACCTGGTCCCGCCCCAGTGTCCGCAGCCAGGAGGGGTCGGCCTCAGCCAGCGCTGCCCATGGGCCTCAGAGTGAAGGAGGGGTTGTGTCTCTATTCTACCCTCCTGCTGGGACCTCAGATAAGTCGCCCCATCTCTGAGTCTCACGTTTCCCCCTTGCAAAATGGAGCCACCTTAATTCTAAGGATTCTCCCAGCTCTGACACTGGCCCTGAGGAAAGGACACCCTTTGAGCCCACAGCTGCAGAGAAGGCACGAGTGGACAAGGAGTACGGTGAGGTGGCCCTGAGGAGGGGCAAGAGAGGGGACAGCACAGGGCCAAGCTGGAGTATGGCAGGGCCCCAGGCTGGGAGTGACTAACCATACCTTGCAGTGGGTCCCGAGACCCCAGATTGCTCTCTGGTCCATAAGAAACCCAGATCCTCAGTCTGAGGATCACAGGAGGCCGGGAGGGAGCCGGATCTCAGACAAAGGCCTGGGGAAGCTGGAGGTCTGTGCCCTTTGTGCACCTTCCCCTTGCCGCCCCCCTCCCCCCGCCATTGCTCATCTAGAGCCAGTCCGTACCCTTTACCGCCTCCCCTGTCGCTGTCTGGGCCTCATGCTGCTCTCTGGGCCCCAGTCTCCCCTCCCACCACCGCCAGAGGGCCCCTGGCCATGCTCTCACCTTTGAAACCCCCTCCATGGCTCCCTCGTGCCTTCTGACACGGCCCATCTCCCAGCACTGAGGGTCGGCTGGGACTTGGGTGAGCTGAAGTTCTCACCCCTCCTCCTGCCCCGTCCCTGTGCGCCCATCTGCCCAGCCCTTCGGGAATCTTCTTCCCACCTCCGCCGTGACCCTCCCCCGGGCAGCACCGAGCACCCAGCACTGCGGGTTTGTTCAATGTCCTTCTCTACCAGGTAGTGCATTTCCTCGGGGGATGGTCCCTTCTGATTCATCTCAGGCCCCAGGGACGGTCTCAGGGAGGGGCTCTAAGTGAATTCTGAGCTCTCCCACAGGGGCTCCCGCAGGACCATGCTTGGGGTTCCAGCTGCTACTGGGGCTTGAAACCATCCATCCCTAATATACCTAATGGTTCTGATTTCTCCAGACCCTCTGGCCTCCAGCAACTGCAGGGGACTGGAGGGTGTTGGGAGAAGGTGGCCCCTCTCAGATTCAGTGCCAGGGACAGCCATGTCCGTGTCAGACACAGCCAGTGGAACTGTCCCCCCCACCCCTCCCCGACCTCAAGGCAGCTCTGTCCCTGCTGGCCTGAGGAGAGGCCAGTCCAACCACAGACCCAGGGACCTCGTGGGGAGGGAGAAGCAGAAAGAGACGACCATACCTTGGTGCTGCCACGGACAGTTGCCAGGTTAAAGAAACGGAGGAGAGCAAAAAGAAAGAGACAGAGAAGTGAGCGGCTTGCCTCGCTGGAAGGAAGGTGTGGGGCAGGAGGATGGAGGGCACACCTCAGACCTGCCCCTCCCAGCCGCGTGAGACACAGGCGTGTACACACACACACACACACACACACACACACACACACACCACTTCTCCTAGGGGTCTGCTCCCACCCCAACACATGCACATATGTACACATACACATTCTCTTTCGTGGGCCCCGGCCTGTCCTGCCCCAGGCCCTGTCCCTGTCCCTCGGGGACGCTGATCCAAATCCACACACTCCTGCCAAAAGGCAAACACACAGAGCTCCGAGTGTGCAGGCACACTCGCCGGGAAAGGGCGCAAGGCCCAGCTCCGTGTTTGTTTTTCCAGGGCCTGACGTGTGCCGAGCATTCCTCCGGCCCCGCTCCCCTGTGAGCCCTCAGGCAACCCTGGGGCTGTACCAGGCAGGAGTCACTGCCCCGGCTCCGGAGCCTCATTAGTAACAAGGACGCTGGGCCACGGCCCACAGGGCCCCCCAGGTCTTCACTGGGCAGCCCGTCCAGCCTCACACCCACTGTGGGAGAAGCACAGAGGAGGAAAGAGAGGCTGACGCTTTGCCCAAGGTCTCACAGCAAGAGCGTGTCAGTGACATTCGGTGAGGAGGCCTCCCCTGGCCTGGGCGCAGGAGAGATGATCACCCCCAGGGCAGGGGCAGCCAGGACTCAGAGTGCCTGGGGACACGGCAGGCTTTGGTGAGCATTCAGTCAGCGAGTCAGAGGAGGGAAAGGAAGGACTCGCAGCTGCCGTGTGGACCACGTGTCAGGCCTGTACTTGCATCGTTTGAGTTGATTTCCCCATGTCTCCCCCATGACGTAGGTGTTGGAGGCAACTGAGGCCCAGAGCAGCTAGGTGACATTCCTTGGAGCTCTGGGCCCAGGTGGAGGGCCAGAGTTAAAACCTGGCTGGCTCTCTCGTCTGTTCTGCCACTTGCCTGCCCATGGGGAGAATCCCACGTTCTCTGGCGCCAGAGGGGAGCTGGGAACATGACCGGGTCCCTTCTGGAAAACAAGGCCCAGCCCACATGGGCTGACCCACTGGCCTCTGGAGGCTGGGAAGGCAACCTAGCTGGGCAGGATCGCCAGGGCTATTCCCATGCAGATGGGCACAAGTGGGGGCTGGGCTTGGTGGTTGTACTCACAGCGGGCTTCCCCAGGACCTTCGGGGAGATGAAGGCCTGACATAACCCTGTGGGCTCATTTTGGGCCTGACCTGACCTAGGCCTCACAGCTCTGTTCACATACCAAGTGGGGGACAGAGGCCTGTTGCTTTGGGGCTGGGTCCAGGAAATGCAGCAAGGAGGGAGGGAAGAAGGGGGCAAGTCAGAGTAGGTGACCCTGAGAGGCCTGGAGGGACATTGCTCAGGCTGGGGGTTGGGTGTGCGGAGGCCCTGGTGCTGTTGGTGCTGTCCTGTGGTCTCTGGGAGACATAACTACGGGGCTTGGGCACAGACTGTGCCCCTCAGGGCCTGGGTAGGGGCCAAGGGCCCCAAAGCCTGGGCTTGTGAGAAAGTAATGAAGGCAGGGGTTGGTGAGACTGCCTCCTCACTTCGTGTCCCCAACACAGCCTGTGACAGTGAAGCCTGAGAGGGGGAAGGGTGGAGAGAAGGGTTGGGTTCAGCTGGGAACAGGGCTCTTCCTTCCTACCCTGTCCCCTGTACTCAGCTCCACCTTTCCAGGGGGCTGATACACCGGCCCCTGGACCTTGCCACGTACCAGCTGTGTGACCGTCAGTGACGTCATCAGAGTCTCAGTTTCTTTGCAAAATGAGGATCATGGCCCTTACCTTATGGGTTGTTACCAACATTAAACTGGGGAAGAGTGTATGGGATACTGGTTGTGAAGGAAACGTATAGAACATCCTGCCGAGGGACTAACCTGCACCCACAGCGTGACTTCTCTATGTTTTCTGCCTCCTCCTCCCCCACCAGCCATCATTTTGGGTCTTGGCTTTCCCAGCTTATTCCAATCCAAGTAAAGGGCTTGGACTAGAGGGCCTCCAGCTCTGACCACTGTTGTTAGTCACCCCTGTGGGCCTGTTTCCTCATCGGTGTATCTGTCTCCTAGACCGGCTGAGCCAGATGGTCACTCAGGTCTCCCAGGCCCCCACCAGCAGAGTTCCCCAAACATTTGTCCAAAGAGCAGAGAGACAGGCAGGGGGCCCAGACAGATGCTCTGGATGCAGACCTGTCTCCTGCTGTACCTGGGGCGGGGTCCTCCCAGGCTGCATGTACCTCCTCTCACGGGCCCTGTTAGACGGGTGTAAGGCCCAGCTCCGAGTCGGCTCCGCCACCTCCCCGCTGAGCAGGCACTGAACCTCCTGGAACCCTGCTTCCCTCATCTTGTCAGAAGGGTCAGCGACCCCTGACGGGCAGGGTCAGGGGGAGACGACGTTTTATAAAGTGCTCTGTTAACCGCTGAGGTCTGGATGCACGCGACAGAATGCTGGGACCGACGCTGTGATAAAGTTGCAGGTTATCATGCCGTTAGGCCCAAACGAGGGAAATGGGGTGGACACACAGGTGTCTGGGGCCCAGGTCTAGAGTCTGAGGCCCTGCTCACCTCAAGCCCTCACCCACCATGCTCAGGGGATAAAGTACAGCCCTGGAGAGGTTCTGGCCTGTCTCCATGGCGGGGGAGCGGGGGTGGGGGGGAGGATGGGAAGAGCAGGGTCTGGGCAGAGGATGCAGGAGGCGGAGCCCGTTCTCTCCATGGGGATATGCCTGGACCCTGGTGCTCAGGCCAGTAGCCGCGGGCTGAAGCAGTGGTTCTCAACTTTCTCTTCGCCAGGCTTTTGGGCAATGTTGAGAGACATTTGTCATGACCGGGAGATGGACAATTGCTCCTATCTATCGGATAAACATCCTATAATAACAGGCCTTCCCTCTCCCTGCATACTGTCGTCCCACCCAGAAGGTCCAGGGCTCAGGACTAAGGCACGTTTCTGCGTGGGCCCTGGCTGCTCGCCTGCATCACACAAGTGAGGGAGTGTGCACACCTCCCACCCCTTCCCCCTCGGCCTCTGCCCTTGGGCCTACCGTGTCAAGGTGGGTGCGCTGGTGCTTGGCACGGTCGCTGGAGTTGCTGAAGGCCTTCTGACAGCCTGGGTGCTGGCACAGGTATGGCTTCTCGCCCGTGTGGCTCCGCAGGTGGATCTTGAGGTTCTCCAGCCGCGAGAAGGCCTTGCTGCAGCCTTCAAACTGCGGGAGAGGCTGGTGAGGGGTGCTCTGCAGCCCCCGGAGGACCCACTACTCAGCCTGGAAACGGCCCCAGCATCCTCTGCCCCCCAGTCCTGCCCAGGCCTCCAGGTGCCCCACTTCAGCTCTCCATGAAGTGATCGGGACCCAGACTCTCTCTGGGAAACCCTGGAGGGTGCTGAAAAAAATATTCCCCTGACTTAGAAGTGGCCCCTGGGGCTAGAGAAGAAAGTGGCCTTTCCATCTCTGGATCTGGAAAGATCCCCAATGGCATGTGGAAATGATGTGCTGCCCTGAAGGGACAGGAGAGCAGGTGGAAATGGCCCTATATTTGGAACCTGAGGCCTGGATGTGAGTGAGGCTTTGGGCAGTGCCCTTGACCTCTTATTTCTTCGCCTACAAACTTAAGACTGTGTGACCACCACTCAGGGCCGATAGGAGGACTCCAGGTGGGGGGATGCTGACCGTCAAGGGGCTCTGTCCATCTGGAGCACGCATCAGTGCCAGATTGCTGTCAGAATAACCACCAATTTGTAAAACTCAGCGTCTTCGATGTATCATCTGGCCGTCTGTCCAGGGCCCACCGTGTGCCAGGCCCCGTGCCGGGCGGTGGGCAGGCAGCAGGTGCGGCACAGACATGGCCACGCCCCTCGTCGGGGAGGGATGGACGGAGCACCCGACGCAGCACCTCCTCCTGCGGCCCAGGCTGCCCCGTCCCCGTCCCACAGCCCCTGCCGAGTACCCTACCGTCTGCTCTCCCCAGAACCCTCGGGCTTCTCACTCCTCCCGCACTCCCCCCTACACGACCACCTGAGGAGTCTCTGACGTAGAAATGGGCCCCCGGGGCTCTGCCTGAAGTGCCGCCCCTCCCGACTCCCGCTCGCACCCTTGCAGCAGCACGAGCCCACCAGGCCCCTGCAAGCCCCTGCTCTGTCAGTCGCTCAGCCAGGGACATCCTCTCTCTTATAACCATCCATCCAATCTGCCCTCAGCCTTCAAAGTCCAGCTCGAATGCTGCCCCGTGGCACATTTCCGGGCCCCTCGTGTGGCCGGCCGCTCCTCTCCGCTTCTCCTCACTGTCCGGCGGGTCCTGTGGGGCACACCATGGGCTGGGAGGAGGACCCCGCGCAGACCCGACCCTGCTCTGTCCATGCAGACGTGGGGCACAGTGTTCACCACACCACAGCCCCGAAGTGTGCGGCCTCCAAGTTCCCGCCTCAGAGATAGAGGCTTCGTGTGGTGATCACAGGGCAGTGACACGGCAAAGACAGGACGCAGGCCACCTCTGACGCCGAAGCCCAGGTGGTTCTGCTCTGCCCGCTGCCTTCCCAGGGCAGGTGGGCAGGGGGAGGTGACCCTTGGGGAGGAAGAGACCAGAGGAACCAGCTCCTGTGCCCAAGCCATGAGTTTCATCCCCCAGCTTAGGACAGACCTGAGGACAGGGACTCGGGGACAATGACTGGTCTGGGGTGAGCTCCCTCCACATCTCTCCCTTGAAGGCCCGGCCACAACTGCAGGCCATGCTCTGCTGGGGCTGATCCAAAGCAGGCAGCCTGCAGCTGGGTTTTAGAGACTGTCCCGCCTCTGCTCCCAGACGAGGTGCCTTTTCCATGCATCAAAACCAGGAGGAAATCCTGTTTGGGGAGTACCTAGATGAACGCTGCCTTTCCCTCCTTCACTCATTTTGCAGATGTCTACTCATCTGCTCGTGGTGTTCAAGCACGGCCTCCTACGAGAAGCCTTCCCAGCCTCCGCGGCCCCTCCCTGGTCACACCCTGAGCCTGTGGGTTAGAAGATTTGTTGCTGCACACCTACTGCCTTCTGGCCAGGCCTCTAGGCTGAGGGTCTGGGAGCTCCTTGAGGGCAGGGCTGGCTTCTCATTCATGGGACAAAGGCTGGCTTAGAGACCTGATCCAACGGGGGTGAGAACAGAAATTCCCAGGCCTGGGGGTGCATATGCCCTTGTGAGTGCACCCTCTTCCCTGCAGCGTTCATCTAAGTACGGGCCAATACCTGTGCCCTAGGTCTGTGCCATGCCCATGTCCTACCCCTATGCCCCCAGAACCTCCCAGAGCAGAGTCATAGGCTAGGGTGCAACAAGCAGCGGTTGAGGGTGCCCTGATGGGATGCCCATCCCCCACGGTAGAACCAGAGGTAGCGGCAGGTGGAGAAGGGGTGCTGCCCGATTAGGACTGCTCTGGGGTGAAGACGTTGCAGGGACCACTGCCGAGCAACACCCCCAGCAGGCCAGCACCCGGACACACCAGGGACCTTGAGGGTGTGGGCCCTGCTCACGGCTGCTGCCAAGGTTCACCAGGTCCTCCCCATCCACCCACCGCACAGACGGCCAACAGAGGCAGAGCCAGGAGGATGGCACGCTCCTCTGGGCCTGTGCTGTCCCCGGGGTCACCCCACTCGAGACTCTCTAGGGCTCATCATGCCTTCCGACATCCAGCCAACCCCCCTAGCATTCGAGGCCTTCAGGGGTCTGGCGTGGCACGACCTGGGGTTAAGGGCCCGGACTCGGAGAGCAGACAGCCCTGTGACCTTGGCAAGCCAGTGCCCCTCTCCGCGCCTCAGTTTCTTTCTCTGTAACATGAAGACAGAAAGCAGCTCAGGGAGTTGGTGTGATGTGAGGGCGAGGTGCACATCTGCACGGCACACAGGACACATTCTGTCACTGTTACTGCTGTCATCATGCTGGTGAGTGATTCCTATCTCGCCCTCAGAAAAGACACCGGTGTAGGTCAGGTTTTTACTGTCCCCAGCAGTAAAGACCAGAGGGCCCTGGTTGACAGGCTTGCCACTGGTCTGGCTCTAAAACCCTTTCCAATGTCAACCCCACGGGGCACCACGTGGGCGCCAGAAATAGCCTCTGATGAAAATGAGGCAGTCTCTTGGGGTGGGAATGGCCTGATGGGGCCCCACGCATTGGCTATGTGGGGGCTAGGAGGGCAGCACGGAGTGGTGCCCCTCACTGTTGTGTTGTGGGGTTAGATATGCTGCCAGAGTGGAGACATAGGTGTTGCAGCAGAAATAAAGCCAACAGGCACATCCCTGGCTTTGGGCCTTGGTTTCCCTGAGGGGGCTGGAGGATGGGCCCTAAGGCAATGCCACCGTGACCCAAAGGTGTACTGATGCTTCCCTGGGGTCTGCACCCCAGGGGGGGTATGCACACAGGCCTTCCTGACACTCCCCTGCCCCCAACACTCCAGTCCCTTGAGGCTCTAGGGCAGATTTTGCCCTGGACAGACCCCCCTCCTCCCTGCTGTCAATGTTCAGGGGTATAACCTCGCATGGCAGACCTCCCGGGATGTCCCCCCACCCTGTTGCAAGGCGGGGCAAAGGGGGAATTGCTGCTACTGGTCCCGAAGGGCTAAGCCACAGTCAGAACTGCCACTGCTTATAGAAAGAACTGCCTCCTCAATCTTCAACACAAGGCAGCAGGGCCAGACAAACCCCACAATTCTGAAAGGCATCCATGTGCCCCATCCACCTACCCCTGACCTTATCACACACCCTCGTCACTGCTGCCGGCACCCCATCACTTGTCCTGCCTCTGCCACCCTTCTACCTCCTCACTTCTGGGATTCATGCCCGTCCTCTCTGTGCACACTGATTCATATCCTGCCTCACTCAGCTGCCCCTGTGTGCCTGGCAGCGTGCTGGGAGCTGGGACTTCAGGGCCAAAAAGACCACAAAAGAACCATAAGTCCAAACAAAAGAGAATGTATTCAGCCCCCAGAAGGGGCTGATCTCAGGTGGCGTCCAGCTGGGGAAGGCGGGGGGGCTCACTAAAGCCCTCTCGCTCCGAGTCAGGACTTGATGCCTAGGCAGGGTTTGGACAAACAGGGTGGGAAGCCCAGGGAGACTGGGGAGGGGTGGTGAATGTTCTGGAGACAGCCAAGGATTTGCTAAGCCAGAATGAAGGGAAGCAGGGAAGGAGAGGTGGAAGTAGAAATGGGAATTTGGGGGCGGGGGGGGGGGGTCCCTTCATTCCAATCCATGGAGTAGCGATTCATTCTGGAGCAGGTGAGTTTGGGGATTTTTTTCCCCAGAAAACACCACAGAAACAGCCCTTTGCACCCGTTGATGTGGCCAAGCAAATGGGGTGGCACGAGGCTATTCACTTGGGGGACCTGGACTACTTCTGCTGGCTAGACTCCCCAGCCCTTGATCTCCCACCTTCCACCTGGATGCCTGAGCCAGAAACCCATTCCCTCCCCGCTCCCCCGGCCCCTGTATCCAACCAGCCACAAAGCCAGGGAAATGCCACTTCTTAAACATCTGTCCCGTGCACTCTCTTCTCTTCTCTGCTGCCCTGCTGCCCTGGCCCACACCCCCGGCATTGATCCCCCCGGGACGGCAGTAGCTGCTGTATGGTCTCCTGCCCCTCCTCTCCCACGAGATCTGGTATCTAGAATGAAGACGTAAGCCCAAGCCTACAGGTCTGAGTCCCTCCCTGCTTAAATCCTGCACAGTATCCTAGTGCCCGGCAAGTACCGATCTTCATTATGGCATCCTGGCGGCTGTGCTCCAGCCCCTGGTGGTGGCTTGGAGGTGCCTGCCCCCTCCGACCCCCACCTCCACACTGCTGTGTCTCAGCATCAGAGTGGCCTGGATGCAAATCCACCCTTCCCACTGGAGTCAGACCTTGGGCGAGTTCATTTGTTGGAGTTCCACCAAAAATGGGGGCATCACGTGGGCACACCTGGGCACACAGCAGGTGGGTGCTGTCTGTAGACCCAGGGTGCATGCAGCATTCTGTCTCATTTGGGGTAAATCTGAAACACACGAGCTCAAATAACAAAACACACAACTTTGTTTCTGTGCCAGAAACAAGGCTCACATGCCATGGGCAACAGAGAGGGCAGCGACTGGGGACGGGGGGCGGGGGGGGACACAAAGAGAGGAGAAGAAACAGTAGGGGCATCTGTCTAGAAAAAAAATGTAAGCATGGATGTTAGATATTTCTTATTTACTTTAAAATGCATGAATATTGG